AAAAAAAAAAGCTTGGCCACTATATTCTCAAATTCTTAGAATATTTTATTAATTGGATAGCAGTAACGCAGCTTTGGTATTATCGCCTGCCATTCCAAGTCCTGCTAATAGAGAGATGGCAGTATCCTGCTGATCTACCAAGTCCCCGGACATAGATATAGGTGGCCCATCTTGTGTGAGGGAGACAGATGTACGTACATGTGTTTGCAGTACAGGCAGGTGCCTGTATTTCTTGGCTTTTATATAAACTGCTGTGGCCCAGAAGGTTAATCCAAAAAATCTTACATTGGAGGGATACGGCTCTAAACATATCTGGCAGCCTTGTATGATGTTTCTAAACTTTATTTTGTCATCTATAAAATGGGATGATAATGCCACACCTCATGGTGAGATTAGGCAAAATCATGAATGTAAAATTGTCATGACAGACCATGGCATGAGATGAGCACCAAACAGAGGCTAACTAGGAGCTACTGTCTGGCCACTAAACTCTCAAAATGTTTCCTGTCTTGAGATGTAGGAATAATAAGTACAAGAAATCAAAATGGTTTCTCCAGCTACCTATCGCTTGTGAATCATGAAGCATATAAAGGACTGGTGGAAATTTGTTACTGCTCCCTGAAATCTGCAGTTTATGGACAGACCTGGGCTCAGAGTCTATCAAGCTGGATAGACTCTGGAATGTAGAAGACTTGTATGAGGCCAAGCCCCTCAGGAGAAGGACAACACATGCAAAAAAGCAAAAGGAGGAATTTATCTTCCACCTCTGATGGATAATCAAGAGGATGAGGGGTGGTTCTGCCTGTGGCAGCTGAAAAGCAAGCACGCTGCACCCCCTCTGTCACCTACATGAACATGCTGTGCCTTTAGCACAGACGTCCTTACCTTCTGGGGAGAATTCACGCTGCTGTGTGTGGACCACTGATGATATGGGGCAGGGTGCAAAGAAAGCACGCTCCTCAAGTCTACAAACACACACACGAGCTCTTAAATTCTGCCTTATACTGGGGGGAACCCCTCAAATATAGATTAAAAAGTATATTTTAACATCTATATCGACTAGGTGTAAAGCATGCTTTGGAGAAAACACACTCCCCTTTTTTCTCATAAGGGAAAGTGTCCGAGGCATCATGGTATATAATTTTTTTTTTTGGTGGGGGGGAACCAGGGACTGAACTCAGGCCCTTGCGCCTGTTCTACTGAGCCATCTCCCTGGCCCCATGGCATATAATTTATGCATGCCTATGCATATATTCACATATACTTACATTTGGATTGTTTACACAGCCGGCATGAAAAGACATGCCCCTTATCCCACATTCGTGCACTGATGGCACTGAGATTTTGGTTCTGCTGGTTGATTTACTCTATGTCAAGTCAGTTCATGATTATTTTCCTTGGTATAAAACTAATAGACTTCAACTGGACGAAAGAGACTCAATTTGACATCGTAGGACCATGGAGGAGTACACTCATCTAAATAGAAATTATTCACTATACACAGAGTCAACAATAAGATATTAAGGGGAAATGCCTGTCACATAGTAAATGCTCAGTAAATATTGACTACAGAATGAAAAGCATGATGATATACTTTAATGCTCCTGTAAAAAAATACTGAATAAGAAAACAAGACACATTTAAATAAAGGTATCTGTATCCAAAGCAGAAGCTCTAGGCATTCTAGGTAGTTACCAAGGACCTTGTATTTGTTCCGAGTATGTATTTGCTGACTTGCAATGTCTTCTGGAATTTAATGGCTTCGTGCTGAACATAGGATAGTTCTGCTCATCAAAGCAGGAGAAAGGCTAGGCCCGGCATCACAGGAAAATACCACTGGGAATAAACTTCCTGAGCTGAAAGCCACTGATTGGTAAGGTTGAATTTTGCAGTCATTACTTCTAACATAATCTCCATGACTTGTGCCTGAGGACACAGCTTTCCTACTCAGCATGACCAGAGCCTGATATAGTGGGAAATCCCCATGATTAGAGGGAGAGAAAAACAGACATTGGCGACCTGGGTGGAGACACTGGGGTCCACCTCAGGCCAGGCTTCTTTAAGTTCTGGAAGGAAACCCACTGGCTTTTGATTTTCAACTTAACCAAGAGCTTTGGGCGCAAATCCCAAGTAGCAGCTACTGCAAGTGAGTCAGGTAGAGGAGTGCTTTATCTGCTCACGTACCGTATACATACAGCATATAATCCGCATGAGCTTTCCCCACTGTGTTTGAAGCCTCACAGCGGTAGGTACCATTATCTGTTTTGTTTAGGTTATTGATGAACAGGTTGGGCCCCGACAGTACAGCGTGTTGAGGCATTTCATCATCCACTCTCACCCAAGTCACCATCACAGGCCTGCGGAGGAAAGGAGAGAACAACCAGCCACATTATTATTTCTCATTAGGACACGTGCATCTAACATCTCACCCGCACATTCAATGAACCACATGCAGGGTGATACAATTAAAGAGGACCTACTGGAGATATTTTAAGTTCATGGAATTACAAGCATGACATCTGAAATATTATTATTTTTTAAAAAACTCACATGATCAGGTGTTGAAAAACCTCAACCGACCACAAGTAGGAGTCTTATTATTTCTAATACATCTTCAATAAGTCAGCAGATAAACCAAGGGGCCCTCCATTTATACCCTGCTGTGTCGCCTCACAGCAGCTGAGGCGGCACAGAACTATCCACTGCTAATCATGTCATTAATTAGAAAAATAAAATCAAGTTCTCGGCTAGTGATCTATGCACTAATCTAATAGTTATGAGCACACCAAGACTGAGCAGTGCTTTCGTTGGGCCTCTGCTACTGGAGAAACTACCTGTAATGCAGAAAAGATACAATCATTTCTTGTCCCTTAACTGCTCCCCATGACCTGCTTTTCTCTTCACCCACAATGTACTTTGGTGCCCTGGTCCCTCCATGTCGCTTGCCCACAAGTGCCTCTTTTTCCTAGCTCTCTGAGGCCCACACAGTGCTACACCTTTCCCAGTAAGTACACTCGCAGTTGTCCAGGGTTCTTGGGTTAACTGCTGAAGAACACATTTTTACATGGACCCCTTAGGTCCTACAAGGAAACTGGCTCATTAGACATAAGTTTACTTTAGTGACTTAAAGCACCACATTTGGACCCATTAACAAAAAGCAAATTTTGAAAGATGCTCTAGAGCCTAACATGCACTCCTATCAGGTATCTTTCAAACTTGTAGGAACCAAAAACTTCTGCCCTTCCAGGTATCTCCGCTAACTTTCTGTGAAATCTAAGAGTGTGCCTGAAAACTTTTATTCCCTGCCATGTGTGACACAGAACCCAGAGCTTTGTGCATAGTAGGCGAGTGCTGTTCACACTGAACCACACCCTGAGCTCAGAACTTTAATTTTAAAGTAAGGACAGGAGAGATTTGAGTGCACAAGTGACTTCCTTTCAGCTCCTAACCACTACCTGTAGGAGCAGTGACACGACAAGGGACCCACACTTAATGATGAACAGATACTTAAGTTAGCCTTGTCAAGTAGCATTCTGATTTTCAAATGGGATGTGAAGTTACAATTTTTCTTTAATTACACATGGGTTTGTCATCACAACCCAGTAAATTATTTAAAAATTAGTACTGCATATGTCCTCCTTGTAGGCAGTGGCAAATGGGTCTGCCTGGCAATCAGACCTAATGTCCTGCTGCTTGACAGCTGAAACAATCAGTGGGGGTGAATGCCGAGAATATTCACAACATTTAATGGCAAGTTAAATTACCATTTTTATTGTATGCAATTTCTCGAGAAAATAAATAGGTAATATGCTAGAAGGGATAGCAGTCGAGTAATGCGTGCTTGCTCACACAACCATATACCCATTCCTATTTGAGAGGAAAAAACAAATACCCTCTCTGGCATAAACGTCCTGAGGAAACATGTAATTTACTGTCCCCGTGGCATGCAATTGAACACAGTACCTTCTTCAGAGGAAAAAAATACAGACACAAAATATAGGTTAGTGAGCCATACAGTGTAAATGTGGTTAATGTGGCTGAATATGGGTATTGCAAGTGCCAGGAGGCCTTGGAGAAATTTTTCCCCTTTCACTGGGCTGTTCTGGAGGCAAGGTAAGCTGCTAATTGAGGCATAGTTCAGTTTACACATACACCCACATGAGCTGTATCTTTTGGTAGTGCTCAAAAGTGAAAACGATTGTTCTGGTAAAGCTTGAAGTACTCAGAGCCAAGTAACTCAGGAACAGAGAAGGAAGACAAAGTCCACCTCCCGCCTCCCAAGGGTCACCTTCAGGTCTGCCAATGGTTATACAGAGGTGAGGGGATTCCAGCCTGCGGAGGGGCGGGAGGCGAGGGGGTGAGCACAAATACACAGAGGGCTGACATGGGAGGAGGGCACCTGACCACTGCCAGGCGTTCCCTTTGCTCTCCACGCCCAGGGTACAGGCCATCTCTTAGCTGCTGTGGGAGAACACCTTCCACAGGATTTGCAGGAAGTTTTGTTACTTGATAATGGAAGTAAGCAAAACTCTGAGTTAAAAAAGAAAATCATGCCACAGGGACAGCAGAGGGAGCTCACTGCTGTTCTTTTGTTGGGTATCACTCCAAATTTGAGCATCCTTAATCCTAACATTGACCTGTTCTTTGGATACCCCTAAGAAAGTTAAAAACAAAAAAAGCAAGCAAATAAAAAAAA